GGAACCTCCATTCTCTTTTCTTTCTTTTTTTCATAATAGAAAAAAGGGCAGGTGTGTCTCGGGAGTGTCAAGAAGTCTTATTTTAAAAATACTTAAAACAGACTTGGTGTTTGTGGGAAGCTGTGCGCGTGGAGGCTCCTTTGCGGCTTTACACGCAGGTCTTTAGCGGTCCTGCTGAGCGCATGGCCGGGCCCCCAGCCAGCGCCAGCCTGTCCTGGGCAGGCCTCCTGGTTCCCTGTCTGCTCGTCCAGTCTGCCCCGTGCTTTTCCCTGGGCACCGGCTCTCCCTGCGCCCTTCTGCACCAGGCATGTCTCATGTGACAGCCTCCTTGGACAGGACCCAATGGCAGTGGCACAACTGGCCTGGGTGGGGTGGGGCCACCTGCACCCTCTTTGGAATTTGCAGGGACTGGGAAAGTAGAAGATTTGAGGAAACCAGGGGACTAAGGGGTGGTTGTTGGAGACAAGGCCTGGCCTGGTCCAGGCAGGGCCACCAGGGTCCCTGAATTTTCCATCACTCACATCCCTCCCCTGCTCGCTTCCCTCTGCAGGAAAACTGAAGCCGGTCATCAAATCCCAGCCGGTGCCCAAGAACAACAAGGGACCTGTCAAGGTCGTGGTGGGGAAGACCTTCGACTCCATCGTGATGGACCCCAAGAAGGACGTGCTCATCGAGTTCTACGCGCCCTGGTGCGGGCACTGCAAGCAGCTGGAGCCCGTGTACGCCTCCCTGGGCAAGAAGTACAAGAGCCATAAGAACCTGGTCATCGCCAAGATGGATGCCACTGCCAACGACATCACCAGCGACCGCTACAAAGTCGAGGGCTTCCCCACCATCTACTTCGCGCCCAGTGGGGACAAAAAGAACCCGATTAAGTTTGAGGACGGAAACAGAGACCTGGAACATTTGAGCAAGTTTATAGAGGAACATGCCACAAAACCCAGCAGGACCAGGGAAGACCTTTAAAGGCTAGGAGGGCCGGAGGGACCAGACACACTGTGGCTTCCAGTGGCCGTGGCCGGAGCCCGCGCCAGCCACCCGGCCCTGCTCAGCGCAAGGGCGGTGTCTCGAATATCTTGTTGTTGTTGTTTTTTTAAATTTTTTATACTCTGGTATTTCACCTCATGCTCTGAATACTGAATAGATATGAATGATTAAGTAGAGTAGCCCAGATTTTTACAGAGGATACATCTATTTTCATCCTTATTGGGGGTTTGATTTTTTTTTTTTTTAACTTTTCACTTTCTTTAATATTATTTCTTTTAAGCAGATAAGTTGAATCTCTTCTTGTGTAAATTTTTTTTTCCTTTTTTTAATTTAAAAATTTCATAACCTTTGCCAAATTATGTTGATTTTTGCCCTTTGTCGCCTGAGGATTACTAGTCAGAGTGCTTTCGTTTTTGTCCCTTCCTGTTGCATCATGGCAAAGTGAGAGCCCCGCCGAGGACGACCTCTCAGCCTGACAGCCGAGCCGCCGCCCAGTCCAGACAGAAGCAGTGCCTGGGGGACCAGGCTTCACCGAACCTTCTCCAAGGACTGTAGGATGAGGGGCCTTTCCCAGGTCCCCAGGCCCCTCGAGCCAGGGTCTGAGGTGCAGCCTTGGAGAGAGAGGAGGCCTCCCCTCCTCTTCAGAATGGACGTGGTTGGAAGAGAGATGACCTAGAGCACAGGCGGATACTTTAGGGGGATAGTAAGGACCGGTAGGCTGTCGTGATGGAATAAAAGAAATATTGAAAATTAACCTGCATAACTGTGTCATAGGACACCTGCTTGCCCAGAGCCTTGATGGAGTTGAAGGTGGAGAGGCCCAACCTGGGCAGGCTGGGGAGGGAGTGTGGGGGGGTCATCCAAACCCTGGGGGCAGGGCTTTGGTGGTCTCAGCTCTGGGTTGTGTGGAGGTGAGCAGTGACACATTCTGTCAGAATGGGGACAAAGGAGCCCGCCGAGCACTTGTGGGGCTGGGACCCGGTGGGACACTGGTCCAGCCCTTCCTTGGGTTGTGGTTGTGTGTGTGATGTGAGCTCTGCGTGATCCTGATTTTGATGGCAACAAAGGTGGAAGTTGCTTGAGCTGGTGGCAGCTGTCTGGTGACTGGCGTGTTTGTTGCCGCGGTCAGCTGGGGGCACCAGAAGGGGCAGCGTAGGTGGGCCTTTCCGAGTGATGTGTCTGCAGCTGAGTCTGGCTGAGATGGACTGGGGATCGGTGGGAAGTGGTGCCTGGTAAGTTATCAGAACCTCCAGTGTGGCAGGGCGTTGTCTGCACCGTCCTCGACGTCCCCAGGAGAATGAGCACCCACCATCTGGGACTTGATGCCAGAAGCTACCAAAATAAACAAGAATTCATCCAGTACCCAGTCTATAACCAGATTTCCCCAATTCTCTCAAAAACATCTTTTTACAATTGGTCTGTTTGAATCATCAGCAGTGTCTGCACTTTGGGTTTTGTCTCTTAAGTCTTGTTCTAGAGCAGTTCCTGTCCCCACCACTTGAACTCACTGCACAAACGACGAGATCATTTGGGTCGGTTGAGTTGTGTTTTGTACGTTTGAAGAATGTTCCATTGTCGCTCTCTCACTGGTGTGTCTGGAGATATATAGAAACCTAGAGAGATCTGAGCGTAGAAAATGGTACCGGATCTTACAAGACTGATAATAGGTGCCATTGATTGGGGGCTGCCTACCAGGTGTCAGGGACCTGGCATATGTTATGAATCAAAGATTCAGTCCAAGCTGACTCTGCTCTGTGACTGAGCAAGTTGCTTAACTCCCCTGGGAGCTTATTTTCCCATCTGTAAGATAAAGACACAGCCCTCTTCACACAGGGTATTTGTAAGGATTCTATGTGACAATGTGGGCAGGGGGCTTAGCTTTGTTCCCAGCGTGTGGTCACCACAGGGGGGAGGGTGGGTGTTTCTCCAGGTCACGCAGGGAGCAGCTGAGTCCCAGGCTTGGTGTTCCCGCTAAAGGAGGCACAGCTACCTGCTGAGTGGTTGTCTTTTAACCTAGTATGTGCTGAGTCAGTGACGTGATTCCCAGTGTGTGACAGAGGAAATCTGCACAGATCCTCGGACACCAACTCAAAGCTCTGCAGAGCCTGAAATGCTCATGTGGAGGCCTCTCCCCCTTTATGTTGGACCTCATCGCTGTCCCTCCTGCCTGTTCCGATGGGCCAGGATGGGGCCACTGACCTGGCATTGTGCAGACACAAGGTAGACCTCAACTGGAGGGTGTGGGTCTGTATAAATTCAGATTCCTGCACCCCAATTCTGGCCTAAGTCAGATGCAGCAGGGGTGGAGCCCAGTGCCTGTTTTCAAAACCTCCCAAATCTGGTCACATTTCAGCCCTCGGTTGCAGGCTCCATCCTGCCCAGGTTGGGGTGTGTGCAGGAGGCAACCAATTGATGTGTTTCTCTTTCCTTGGTGTTTCTCTCCCCCTTCCACTCTCTCTGAAAGCATGGAAAAAGCATCCTCTAGTGAGGATTAAAAAATAAATACGTACAATGCATTCTGTGGGACCTGTACTAAGGTAAAGAACCCGCCTTGGATTCCGCCCTGCTACCCACAGGACAGGCAGTTGGCTGTGCAAGCGGAGGGCTGGGAAAGCAAACCCACGCGGGAGCCCGGGGCTGAGCGCGGACTCACAAAACGCCGTGTGGATGAACCTGTGGAGAACTGGAGACCTCGGGTCCCCTGGCTGGAGGGCCTCCCCTAATTCATCATGTTCCCACCTTAGATTATGGAGATACCATGACCCAGGGAAGACAAAGGACCACTTGTTATAAAGACTGAGAGGGGGCCTCTTAGAAAGCGGTGGCGGTGGCTTGGGGAAGGAATTGTGCGGGAGAGGAGCCCTCTCCCGTCTTCCTGGATTTTCTCATGGAAAGAAAGTGGGCTCAGCTGCGGGTGGATTGAAAACTGGTGCCTCAACCACGGGTGAGATGGGATCAGATCCTCTCGCTCCCCACCTGCTGCAAAAGCGTCCTCAGAAACCATAGATAATTGGGAGGCTGGAGACTCGAGAGACCGTCAGGGTTGAGGTTGAAAACTCCAGTGTTCAAGGAACCTGACAGGCAAGTTAAACCACATGGGGCGGGATGGGGGCAACAGACCCCCCTCCCACGGGGCCATGGGAACCCAGGTGTGTCTTTTGTTTCGTTTGGGGGGTTTTGTTGTTTTATTTTCACAATTCAAAGGCAGGAGGGGCTCCAGAAGGGAGAAGATTCGCTTCTGGCCAACTCTCTAGGTGGGTTTTGGTGAGTCGTGAGAAAAAGACATGGCTTCTCTGTATGTACCCTAGTGTTTGGTGTCCATACAGTTTTAAGTGTCATTTCCACAGGGGTTTCTCGTTGGCTTGTTTTGATTCCCCCCCACCGCCCCGTAACCCAGGGCAGTACCATGAGGAGGCTGAGAGCAGCTGAGATGCAGGAGGGTCTGTCCCTGTTTTTTAAGACCCAGAGAGTGGGTCAGTGCCCCAAGCGCCTCACTCACCCACCCTGGCCCCAGCCCAGGGATGCCCAGGTTTAGGGCTCTGGGAAACTAGCTAGACTGCGGAGGAACCTAGGGAAGTGTGTGGCAATGACCACAGGCTCCCGACTCTGCATAGCAGGACAAAAATCTTGTCAGATTGTAGGGCCCCATCTTGGAAAGGGGGAGCAGATGTTGCAAAAATGGGACCCTCCACAGGTGGGTTTTGAAAGAAGGGAGGGAAGAAAAGGTTGAAAGAATGTCCCTTGACCTGGGAGGGTACATAGATGGGCAGTGGGAGGAAAATCCTGCCCACATAAAGCACTTTGGGAATGTTCTGGAGGAGTTTTTGGAGGAAATCAGGGAAAACTCCATTCTCTTTGCTTTAAATTAGTTTATTAGAACTTTGAGACAGATATAATCAGAAAGGTTTTCAATAAAGTACCTCCATTGTCTGCTTAAGGTAATGTTAAGCAAGGGCCTACCCTGGCCACACCGAAGCTTCATGGGGTTGACCAGGTGCACAAGCCCAAGGGTCAAGAAATCATAGACATTGGCAGACGGCTCCAAAGCCCCCTTGACCTCTTGCAGGGCTCTTGGCAAGAGCTGTGGGACACCCCCCCCTTCACCCCTAGGAGAGGGTTCTGAGCTAGCAGGGCAAAGTGGGAGGTGGGCACACCTCCACTCTCCTGTGACAGCAAGCAGGGTGGATAGTGGGCACTAGGGACTGATTTGGGCCTGCAATCAAAGACTGGCAGGTCGAGACCCAGTGTGCCACCTTTTAGCTAGCTGTGCTTCTCTGAAGCTTTTACAAAAATCTGTTCCACTCGCCTTCACTTAGGCATCTTTGTTTCTGTATTTTGTCCCTGTAAACTCGGCGGTCCTCGTGCTGGTGGCTTCTTTCAGCAGTTGGGTTTTATTTATTTATTTTAAAATTGTATTGATTTTCAGAGAGAGAGAGAGACAGGGAGAGAAACATGATGCCCACGCGAAACATCCATGCCCCTTACTGGGGATGGAGCCCACACCCGGGGGCATGTGCCTTAGCTGGGAATCGAACCAGCGACCACAGGATGACACCCAGCCAACCAACTGAACCACACGGGGCCAAGGGCTCGTCAGTTAGATTTTAAGGAGGAAGACGGTGATCTTGGGCCATGGGAGGCACCTCTGCCCTTCGGTAGGGGACAGGCTGCTGAGGCGGGGAGCAGCTGCTTCCAGGCGGGGAGCTCTGGGGGGCGGTTACAGATGTGGGGGAGCAGGAGACTTGATCTGCTCCAGCTCAGAGTTTTCTCCAGACTTCACAGGGCTGCCCGGAGTCACGTGGCGAAGAGACAAAGGAGGTCAGCGCTGATTGGGCAGCTCCCCAGGACCCTGAGCCGGCGGAGCCACTCCTGACAAAGAGGGCGGGAGGAAAGAAGCCCTGGTGTCGAGGGCTAATTTGCATGTCTTCCCAGGATGCCCAGCAGTGCGTCTGATTCTTGCTGTTAAAAACACTTAACACTATCTGTTGGTAAGTAGGTGCTCTGGGGAGATTCTTAGAGGATATCTATAATCGATGCTGTGGAAGTAGTCCTTTATAAACTAGCACTAAAAATATCACTATGATGTAAAAATGAACAAGCTCTGGGGTTTTAAATAGTTCAAGCACCAGTTGTGGTGTTAGCTGGTCCGAAAGTAGTGAGTTATCGCAACTAATTGCCTGCAGTCAATTACAGATGGAAGCTCACCCTTCTACTCTCACCCCTTCTCACTACTGTACTTTGACTAGTCTTTTGCAGAGTTGCCCCCTTTGCAAAAGACAGCATTGCTTTTGTTCTTTATCCTAATTAAAAACTTGTATTTTTAAGGTTTTTAAAATTCATTTTGAGAGAGGAAGGGAGAGAGGAAAATATCGGTTGCCTCCCGACCAGGGATTGAACCCACAACCCAGGTATGTGCCCTAACAGGGAATCAAACCCAACTCTGCGGTGTTCTGGACTCGCTCCAACCAACCGAGCCGCTGGGCCAGGAGGAAGACTAATATTCGATGATACACTTAATAGACAAAATTAGGAAGACGTGTCGAAGTTGACAATCCTGTTACGTTTTGAAGACAGAGGAGTGAACATCCTCCAAGAGGAAAACATCTTCCAGGAGGGAAAACCAAGTCCAAGAAGGGCACAGAGTATCTCGGGATGCCCAGGCGAGGCCTCAAGCCGCTTTCTCACCCAGGTTCTGCGCTTAGCTTTTTGCGTAACCTTGAGAAAGGCCATTCCGCTGGCTCCGCATCTGAAACAGGCCCC